AATTCGGTAACTGATCAAAGAATTATTGGATTTGAATGGAGATTGATCATCACTCATGCACCGTCTCTCACAAATTCATCTATCCTTGATAGATTCTGATCGTATCGGACATTTCAATTTGGAAAAACATTCGGTTGAGTTACTTAAATATTATAGATGTATGACGTCTTCATATGATGAATTACCAAACAATTTATTCAACAAATATTGAAGATATTGATAGATATTGAAGTAATAAGTGAAGTATTACCTGAGTAATTTTTACTGTGTTTATTTTTTAACTATGAAATGCTGTGGTAACTCAGTGGTCAAAATTATTATTAATCTTTATTTAGCAATTGGTATATACATCTTCATACATATTATGAATTATTAATATATTTACATTGAAAATATCAAGTTATATATGTCACATAATCGAACATATTTTTTTTTAATTTAATTTCTCATAACTTCTGATTTGGTATGGTACTGCATTATACATTATCAAACCTATATGAAATAAACTCTTCATTTTTCCTTATCTTTTGCATGAATTTACGCAAAAATTTACATACATTTCTTATGTATGTAAAATAGATTTTTAATATGACTCAAATGTTTTATACATAATTATTCGTTTAACTGATAGGTTGGAAACATTCAGAGTTTTCATAATGAATGTATTCATATTACAACTTAAAATATATGGCATACCCCTATTTTGAATCCTTTGTAACACCTGTATGCTATTTTGACTAAGATTAGACAAAATTGTCGAACAGAATTCTAAATGCGGTGGAATAATTGCATGATAAATGATGCATGATTGCATGATCGCATTCAAATTCTACCTAGAAACTCCATTTTTATAAACATTTTAAAGTTATATATTTAGCATGGTTTTTAAGGTCAGCTTACTCCAAACAATTTTGAAAAAATCAATTTTTTTATAAATTGCTACTATATACTCGTAGAAAGAGTATAGAATTAGTCCTGAAGGTCAGCAAGACCGAGAAGCGGGTATAAAAGATTAGAGACCGCTGCACTAAATCCGGCTGCTCAAACGCCTTCGGTTGCGGCAGCTGCTGCATGCTTTCGGGTCGTCTTATTGTTTTGTTCTTTGTTTCATTGTTATTGTCTTGTTATTTTGTTGAACTGCTTTGAGAAATGCAAGAATTCTTCAGAATGATGCTTACGAAGACCAGGAAGGAGTTGTGTATAACGCTGGAATGGATATGTGAGTGAAATTCACTTTTTTTCACGATTTTTCATGAATAAAAACTTTGAACTGATTTTTCTCCGAACCACATTTTTTCGCATGAATTACACTCTCATTTCAAAACTATTGCACTTATCGATATGAACCAAACGGTATTTTACTCTTCAGATGTCTGGCTGTGGCCTAAAGCATAACCAGAAATATTCTTTATTATTTAAAGAAGTTATAAACAATTAAAAGTGAAAAAAAGGGTAAAAAAAATTCAAAAGTCCGCTATTTTGTTTTTTTCATTGAAAATGTTTCATTCTGCTTGAAGTCGCAGCCAATTCAATACAGAACAAGAAACCGTATTGTTTTTTGCTTTCGGATAATCCTTTTCCAAGAAATGATGTTATTCATCTCCGATTCAGATGAGTTTCAGCAGCCATTTTCATTACTCAACATGTTTTGTACTATAATTAAAATATATTGTAAAAAATTACGTTTTTTGGAGTAAGCTGGCCTTAAAAGTCAAAGTTTCATCTAATATAAGTCCAGAATATTTCATTTCGTATGCTCTATCTTTTTTACGTTCATTTTTCAGCTGTACGTGCTCTAGACTTATATCATTAATTTTCACATTCAATTGAGTATTGCTTTTCCCCGTTAGGGGTCGTTCATTAAATCATGTGATGTTTTTTTTGAAAATTTCAACCCGCCCTTCCCTTTGGCGATATATATGAGGTTCAAGACTAACCCCCAACCCTATATGACGTGTACTTTTTTAGTTCTTACAAAGAATCTTAATTTTTTTGAAATATTTATTATAAAATACAGGTTTAAGTATCACAAATTTTTATTATAGAAAATAAAAAAACTACAATAATAACTTAAGAGGTAGACAGAAAACTTGCAAGTTGTTTTGGACTGACTTAAAAATGATGGAAGAAACGCGAAAAACTTTTTTGTAGTAATACATGAATATAATTTAATTTACAATGTCCTCAGACCACGGATTACCAAGACTTTCAACAACAATAACTGGATAAGCATCTTGCAAGTTATTTGTAAGTACAGTGCTTTGTTGAAGATTATCATCGGTTTCATCAAGCCACTCGGCGTCATCATTTTCGAGCACCACGCAGGAAATCTCTTTCGATCTACCGTTCGTTCGTCGCGTGAGAATGCGGGAAGGACGAACACTGTGCATCTCTAGACTCTTATTGCTCGGATTCAGTTCCTTGTGACAATAATTCAGATTAGCTTTAACTTTTTTTTTGTACAGAAGTACAATGCACACAGCTGGCATGTCCTTTCCAAAAGTATCCGATCCTTCTGCAGGCAATACAGGTCATAGATCAATTTGCCGAAGCCTTTGGAGTAAATTCAAGAGACAAACGTAGAAGAAATGGAAAACATCTTGCTGTCATGCTCTTGAGGCATTGGAATATATAGGCCACTGGGCTCCGCATATGTCCACAGCAAGCGCGATCATGACACTTCCCCACCTGATGGTGACATTAAAATATTTTAATTATAATATTAGATAAGAAATTGTTTGGGGGTTGTTGAGTTGTTTGTGGGTAATTTTAAGTTTAAGTTTAAGTCACCGTGCCCACCAACAGATAACTGTGTTTATCTCTGTGGGAATTTGCGTAGACATTTGTAACCTCTATGTAAATTTATGATTTTCAATAAATAAAAAAAATAAAAAAAAATATCTAAGTGTGAATCAAGGTCACACTGCAAGCCGCTTTCGAATTTGTTCGCGTGTCACGAAAAAATAAATACTTGTGAGATATTACTACACCCCCCTTGTGATATTTCGTGATTTTTTATGGACTCCCACCCCCCTTTCGAGCCACGCATGATTAATAGACGGCCCCTTAGATATTCTATTGTAAGAATCATCTACTTCCTCTTGTTATAGTTTATGCTAAAATCATTATCACTTAGCCACATCTAAATTTTGAAGAAATCATAATTAACAGCATCAAATATACCGATAATATTGTCACCAAGTATGAATAACATTGTGTCATCAGCAAACAAAGAAATACTGCTATGCTCACTTACAGTTTCAATATAATTCATATACAATAGGAAAAGCAAAGGTTCAAGGACAGATCCTTGAGGAATACTTGAGGAAAATTCGGCCATCATTCATAAAATTTTCAATTTGAATTTCAGAACTTAGAGAAGAAGATAAACAGTTTATCATTAACATCTGATGAAGCTACTGTGTTGGCGAAACGAGATTGTCATGTTTTTATTAATTATATTGAAAATCGAAAAACAACTTAGTTTTATTTAAATTAAGTATTTATATTTTCATCAAGTATGGGCCCAATCGATTAATCACATATTAATGTATAATATTAGTTTGGAAGTTTTGACAGCTATGCATAATATAAAAAATGATACCTATGAAAAATGGATAACGTAACATGATCAATTTAATAGATTGAAGTTTGCATAGTATTATTCGTGTAGAGGATGCTCTCCAATTAGTGGAACTAAATTATCACATGCAAATTGTGTGTAGAGTTAATATAAAATGGGATATATCCCATAGATGGAATTAGAAAAATTGGACGGATATATCAAATTAAAATTGATATTGTACTATGGAAATGCAACAATTCTACCGGAAAAAGTAATTCTATATATTTTTCGACATATAGTCACAATAGTAACGAGAAAACTCAATTAACTTAGTATCGTGACGTGGAGAAAATGAAATTGCCACAGTGAAGAGGTGGGTTTGTATTTTAATATCTGGGCGATAGGCTCAGATCGTAGAGCCTTCCATGCATACCAGCAGTGCCGGGATTGATACCTGGGCCTCCAAATTTTTGTATTTTTCTGAAACTTCATTGCATTAAAGTAGTATAAGAATTTTCAAAAAAATTGTTTCCGGGTTTATCTTAATATTAGGGGTAACTAATGTCAGCTACCATCAGTTAAGCTCAGCTTAGATGGTAGAGCAGCATGCAAGTTTTCTGTATATAAAATAATGATGAAAATAATGCATCGAATAATCACTAAGAAATGTATTTCCATTATAACAAAACTTGAATTTTATACACTTATTTAAAATACGATATAGTAACTAAATTAAAACGAATTAAATTTATTAGTAAAACCAAAGGTAGGAACCAGAACAAATAAATATATAACGTCAAATGAAATATGTATTACATTAAGGTAGTTTGAAATACTGCATAATATGTCAGTACACAACCCCATGTAAATACTTCGTAAATAAAATTTTGTTGATTTGTTGACTTGACTTGCTTAGTAAGCAAATGGTACCTGGATCGATACCTGATGAATGGTATAAATGTTCCTGAAAACCTGTTTTCGGTTATATCTTAATATCAGGGGGCGTAGCTCAAATGGTAGAGCATGCGAGAGGTACCAGGATCGATACCTGGTCATCTTAAACCCGGGCCCCTCAGGCCATTACAAAATTTTCGAAATAAAATGTTGAGGTTAATTACAAACAAGGGTAGATACACTCGTATAGATGAACTCCACAACCTACCAAAAATAGCTACCATTAGGGTCCACATAAATCGTATGTCAAACAAGATAGATCAATTTATAAAAATATGTGTAATAGTATTAATTTTAAGTATTATTATGAATGTTTGTAAATCCTTTATATGTTTAATGTGTAAATAAATATTTGTTGAGTTGAGGTACCAGGATCGATACCTGACGCCTCCAAATTTTTGTACTTTTGTTGAATTTCATTATTGAATTGAAATGTTGAATGAATTTGCAGAACACCTGTTTTCGGTTATATCTTATTATTAGGGGCGTAGCTCAAATGGTAGAGCGCTTGCTTAGCATGCGAGAGGTACCAGAATCGATAACTGGCGCCTCCAAATTTTTGTACTTTTGTTAAATTTCATTATTAAATTGAAATGTTATATAATTTTCAGAACACCTGTTTTCGGTTATATGTTAATATCAGGGGGCGTAGCTCAGATGGTATATCGCCATGTTAATTTTCTGTATATAAAATAATGGCAAAAATAGTATATAGAATAATCACCATTTAAATGTGAAACTATTCATAACTATGTAAACAGAGATATAATAAATAAGTTAAACAAATTGAATTTATTAGTAAAACAAAAAGGTAGGAATTTAAATTATTTAGGTAGGAAATTAAGCTAGTTTAACATACTACATATGACACCCTCATGTAAATACTTTGTAAATACAATTTTGATCACTTGACTTGACAGTGGAGATATAAGATATTTCAAAGAAATATTAATAATTCACAACTTGCATAGAATACTTGTAAACAGGACTGATGAAATTATAGATGGATTTCCGAACATAACTCTCCAAAATATCTATCTACTATACATACAAAAAGTTCAGATACAATTTTGTGCGAACGTCAGCCATTTTCCGGTTGATAGATCAGTCACATAATTTGATATTGCAAAAATTATTTTCATCTCTTCCATCGATGAGATCAATCTCATACGCCAGGACAATCTCCGTCTTTTATCGATCGGTCCCTCCTCCGTTTGCCCGTGTCATCCCCGATTTCATCGCCAAGCGGATTGCCGGTTTAGATTTCCATGAAAAATTATGGTCGAACTCATTTCGAGGATTTAAATCGTACCATAACCATCTATTTTCTGATCAAATACAAAATTGAAGCATAATTAAAAACAATTGGTTAAATTGGTTAACTTCTACAAAATTGGTTAAACCCCTCGACATATATTTCGGGCTACTAACATATAATAATAATAATATATATTTGTGACAGTGAAAATATATATAATAACAGTACATATATAACACAAACATAATAAAGTAAATTATTGTAATAACAATAAAAATTTTCATATTAGACTCATATAAATAAGTTATTCAAATATTTTGTCAGTCGGAAGAAGCCATTGTATTGGTGAAACGTACGTCAGAGTAGTTTAATAGAAGTATGTAAATCTAGTAAACAGCGTTTCAGTTGCTATTTGAATTTTGAGGAGTGTTTACATCAACTTCAATTATGGTGTTCACTCTTCAATTGTTTTGGTAAAGTTGTAGATATTGAGGCAAAACACATTACAAACCGATCATCAAACAATATAATACTCATATGTCGGGGAAACCAGCCTTAACAAAGGGTTGTCGGTAAAACAGATTTCATTTATTATGAATCGAACAATTCACCAATTCTATAGGCTGTGTTGCCATTTTTCAAATATATTAAAGAATAAATAGGCGTCTTTTATTGCTAGATTTCGATGAATAAGCTGAACTGTGAGGATAATGAAGCAAATGAGATAATCAGATGACGTTACCAATTTTTTAAATTGAAACACTTTTTTTATTACATTTCTCTAAAAACAGTGAATGTACTATTGAAATTGTTGGATTGACTACATTTTTTCCACTTAACTCATATGTTTTCCAATACATTGTAGAAACCTATCATCTGCAAATTATGGAATATAAGTAATGTAATACGCATATCAATAACATGAAAAGCTAATGAACTCATGACGGCAGCGCCATTTCATAATAAAATACAACCGTGAAAGAATAGAATATGCAACAAAGTTAGAATAAGTTCGCATTGATCGAAGCTACGCTTTCCAGCTGTTAGGAGTTATGAAGAATTTTTTGACTGCTGTTGGAATGCAGTCAACTTTGAGAAATGCATAATTATATTGCGTATTGCAAGCTGATGCACAGATTTTTTCGTACTATAACCGGCGACAACACATGCAAATATTCCATTAATAAGAATGCATTCGAACGAATCGATGAAATATGATACATCTTGAAATGAAATATAATAGAGTATAGTTGAACCATTTTTCATCATTGCCAATAGGACTAATGTCAACTAGTTGACACATTGACACAACAAAATTCGTTAGTGAAATATACTTTCAAAGGAAATAAATGACAAAAAGAATCTAATCAAACAACAGGAATACCTATAATATTTTGTTATAGGTTTTGCACCTCTTGTTATATACATATAACAAGAAGTGCATTTCTAGAGTCGCCACATTGAGGCATTATAACATAACGATTCTTCCAGAAGCAATCTATGCAGCTCAAACAATGATTATTGACGGTCATTCAAGAATTAGAGAAATAGAAAAACAAGAACTAGAAATTCTCAGAAAGATTTACGGGCCAATCAATAGAAAGGGCATTTGGATGAGAAGACCTCAGAATAAACTTTATCGAAAGACAAATACTATAACGGAAGAAATCAGAAAACGACGAGCAAAGTTAACATGTCTACAGAATGAAACAGTCCAGAATACCGAAGAAATGACTCAATATAATTATGAAGAGTAAATGCCGAACAGAGTAGCTAAAAGAGGTCCAAAAAGATCTACAACAGATCTACTTCATTGTCGCTATAAAATCGCATACGTGATTTTTGCCGAAAAAAGCAAAAATCAAATCGCCAACCTCAAATAAAATGGACAGATGAACGGAAGAAAGGCCATTCAGAGAGCATGAAGCGTTTTTGGGAGGCGAAAAAGACGAAGCAAAAGTCCTAAGAATTGCAAATTCAAGTTCAATTGCTTTCCTTATGGTGCACAATCGTTAGAATAATATATATATATATATATATATATATATATATATATATATATATATATATATATATATATATATATATATATATATATATATATATATATATTTCTATTACTTTATAAATTTGATTTATTGCCTAGGATTTTCTATGATTTTCCTAAACATTTTCAATGTTTTTAGCGATAACAGGCTTATTTTAATATTAAAAACTTTATTTTCGTTGACGTTTCGTTGTATATCACAACTTTGTCAAAACTAATGAATAATTGAATTTTATGAATTAGTATATCAAAAAGTCAAACTTATTTTGACTATTCATTTTTAGTATATACCAAATCCATAAAATTATTAAAGTATTTAACTTATATTAAAGTTTTATGAGTGAAATAATAATCTCTATTGTGAAATTTCGGAGACAGAAGCACAATAGACAATAGTAAATTGAAATTGAATTGAAGAAATCAAGATTATGCACGAAATTCAAAAATATGAAATCAGAGATTACTGAGACGCCAAGGGACGCCAAGTTTTAGAAAAGAGTTCAAGTTGAAATTAAATTTTTTAAGACAATAAATTGAAAAAAAAAAATTAATTTGAAAAATAGCAGTAGAATATAGAAAATTTATAATAATTGGAATAGAAGAAGTCTGGAGTGTTGGCGTGAAAAGAAATCAAGACAGCTCGAAGTAAGAGGACTGGAAGTAAATTCCATTTGAATTTTAAGGAGTTAAGAGTTTTTTTGATCGGTATTGTTCACTTTTCAATGAGTATTTGTAAGTAAAGTATATATGATTAAAATTACCAGACACATTATTTAAAAAAAAAACTGAAACTTTAAAAAGATTCCACCCTGAGAAAGTCAACTAAATTAACTCAAATATTGGTCAAAACTCATTAGATAAATTTTATTACATAAAATGGAACGTAGATATAGTTTTAAATTCACAAGAATGAAATGAGAATATATAAGATTGATAGTTCGAAATATTGATCGTTTTTTCACTCAAGACTCTGATAATTCTTTATTGTTAAATGAATATATTACTTCATTCATTGATATGTAAAAAATCTTCTTTCCAAAAATAAACTAAAGTTCGAAATTACAGTAAGGTAAGCATTTATAATATCTAAACAAAAAATATATACATTTGTGTTTAAAATGATGACGAAAACAAAGAGAACTAATGCTATTCAATTATCCTTTAATGATATTGACATCAAAAATGTTCAATTCTTACAATTGTTTGGGATCTCGCAGACTTCTTGGAAACTCACAAATGAGACAATTTCATAAAGTTTCTTCGAAAGAACCTCGACTATATAATGATTTGCGCTTTTGGGGAAGATAAAAACCTCTATAATAATAACTACGATCGAAGGTTTTCATCCGAAATTAATCCACCAGAAAAATATCGCAATATACTTGACATATGGTCTTCGTCGAATATCATAAAACATCGTGTGTCTCAAGTTTCATGGACCCGCTTTTTCACTCTTGCAGCCTGTTTGGTTAAATGCATATAGGTACGTTAGGCTTGAATGAAAATGAAATTTGACGTATTAATTTCTATGGTGTCAATGCAGTTTATATCTAATATAATTCTTTTGCACGTGCTTTTGTGAATGAACTACACCTGAACGGCTGGACCGATTATGCTGAAATTTTTGCAGTCTGTTCTAGTGGATTTGAGAATGAAAAACATTATATGAAAAATTCATACAAAAACCTATTGATCCCAGGTCCTTCAGCCTATTTAATATATAGTGTTATTTCAATTTCAATTGATTAGTTTATAACATGCTCAGTGCTTCAAGTAGCTCCTCAGTTGGGAATTTTCGTCGTACATAGTTCCTGTTTTAGGTATTATAGAACATCGGTAAAATATCCTCCAGTTTGTTAAGTCTTTTAAGGAACTTTCGGTTGAGTTTCTGAAATCGATTTTTTATTGGTTCTATGTTTGTTCTTGAATACAGCAGTTCCTTAGAGGGGTTGTGTATTCTGTTCAGAGGGTGTCTTAATCTTGTAACAGTATTATTATTTACACATATCTGTGGAACAAGGGATAGGGTAACTAATTTGTCGTCTGTGAAGTAGATTCTTGGTTCGAATCCTGGGTTAGGTATCATGGTTTAAATATGTCTAGGAATTAATGAGAAAAATTTCACTTGTTTCAGGTCAGGTCGGCGTTATATACACATATTTCCAGAAGGTTTTTGATAAGATAAGTCATGAACTACTTACAGTTAAAACTACGAAGCTTTTTGCATTTGCGAATAATTCATCACTTCT